GGGCGGCCGGGGAGGTTTCCCACCCAGGGTGACACCCGCGAGCCCTCCGCCCCGGGGATGGCCAGGGGCCTGCAGGCAAGCAGGTTGGTTCTCCTGACTGCCTGGGGGGAGGGCCCACCTGCCCTAAACCCTAGATTCCACATTTCTCAATCTGGTCACGCTGCTTCCTCTTCTAGAGAGAAAGCACCTCACGCCAGGCGGTGGGGCCTGGGCCAGCGAGCTCCCCAAGAAGGTGAAGGTGTGGAGATGGGCCATAAGGGTGGAGACACCTTAGGGAGCACCCCAGGGCATTGAAACGGGTGCTACTGAAAGGGGCAGAGGAGTTCCGAGGCTTCAGCTGACCCACCCCCCAAGGAGACTGGGCTTTCCTCGGGGGTAACACGTGCCAGCTGGGATCGCTTCTCGGTCTCTCTGCCTCTCTCACTCCCCAGGGCCTGGACGGCTGGCTGGCCAGTCACCCGTTTTGACTTGATTAATCATCCCCTTGGGGCACACTGGAAGGACCCTGTTCAGGCACCCTCTCTCTTTGGCCTTGTAGGTGATTTCTGATTTCGACATGACTTTGAGCAGGTTTGCATATAACGGAAAGCGGTGCCCGTCTTCTCACAGTGAGTCACATGCTAGCTTGCCTTGCTGGGCTTGACAAGACGATGGCTTCTGGGGGACGAGTAAAAAGAGTTTTGCGTTTTTCCAGATATTCTGGATAACAGCAAGATCGTCACTGAGGAGTGTCGAAAAGAGGTGGGTTCCCTCCCTTTTATCATGTGCTACTTCAAATGGTTCCTGGTTAGAGCCAGCCTCCAGGAGAGAGACCTGACAAAGTCAATGCCTCGGCTGGCCCGTTAGCTCAGTTGGTTAGAGTGCAGCCTTATAACACCAACATCACGGGTTCGGATCCCCATACCCACCAGCTGCCAAAAAAGAAAATTAATTTTTAAAAAACTGTTGCCGCTGTAACACCAGGGTCAAGGGTTTGGATCCCCTTACCAGCCAGCCACCAAAGAAATAAATAAAAATACATAAAAATTGCTGTTTCTATGCTCAGTCTAATCTAGTCTTACTGGCCAAGGTGTGTGATGGTTGATGGATCGTAGATGGACATCGTGCTTACTGTTGACTCTAGAGTTTACAAGAGAATGGAATGTTATGTTATTTGACCCGCCTCCAACTCCAAAAGGTGGATCAAACTATCACTGTCTCCATTTAACAGGTGAAAAAACAGGGTTTTGGAGAGGTTGAGCAATCTACCCAGGATCATACAGCCAAGTCGCACGGCTTCGTTTTCGCACAGATCTCATTCTCTTCCTTTTTTTTTTTTTTTTTTTTTTTTTTTGAGACCGGCCGCTGTGAGCGCGCCTATATAGGATCCGAACCCTCGGCCTTGGTGTTATCAGCACCACACTCTCCCGAGTGAGCCACGGGCCGGCCCCTCAGATCTCATTCTCTTCCAAACTCTTCCCGCTACGTTATGCTCTTTCCTTGATAAATATAATTTTCTTGGTAAGGCAACAGATATCAAGAAATTTCTTGGTAAGGCAACAGATATCAAGAAAT